TGTAGTCGTAAAATGCTAATTTTCTTTTGGATTTGAATTGCAAAGCACGAATTTAGGTTTAGGATTTGATGATGAAGACTAAGTGAATTTATTGGATTACGCGGGCACTTCCGCATTAACCTGATATTTTGAAGTGTTTAGCTTGCTAGTAGATATGGAAAGGAATTTATTCTCCTTCCTTACAAAGTGTTTTGAATGAGTTTGAAGGACACTTATTTCGGGCTTCACAAAAGAGATTAAACTTTCCCGTTCACTTATCTCCCTAAAATGGGCTAGGGAACAAATTCTCAAAAAATCACAGCCAAAAATGGGCAAAAGGGTTAAAAATGGACTCAGTATCAGCACATCTGGCTGCTGGGAGAAGAAGTTTTGTATGGAGTGAATGGGATCGCGAAAGCGATATCTTATCGCACCGCATGGACTAAGTTCATCATATTTGCAGAAAAGCCCATTTCGCGGAACTTCGTGGATATCATTCCAGGACTCATATCTACGAAGGTCCATAATGGAGGAAAATGGACTTACTTAGTCCGATTTATTCGTTCGTGTTAGAAAATGGTCGAAGTCGGCTCTCGCTTGCGATATCCAAATTTTTTCATCCCAGAGCAACCGCGAGGCAAAGCGATGAAGTGAAATGATTCAAACTTACTTGAGCTATCGCTCGCGGAGATGACGTCAAAAGTCCATTTTAAAATGGGGCAAAATGGAGTTCACCTCCATGTTCATTCTCTCCTACCTTTCTGATAACTTGCTTAAACCTGTTTACTCACTCGTGCAAACTCATTTCCACCAAGTGGTCGATATCTGACTAGGCGTCCTAATATTACAATGTCAGTCACGTGGAATACCTATTCTTTCCCACTTCGTTACACCTCATAAAATACCATATATGACTATGCATTTAAATTACCTCCAAAAATATCCATATAATATCCAGGCCCTCGCTTCTCGAGACTTCTATGGATCTGCATCAAATTAAATTCGTATGTAGAGCTTTCTGCAGAAAGCAAACTTTGGCTAGATTTGTACGCAATCTGTGAATCAAAATGCCTATCTCATAGAAAACCTTGTACTACGCTACAACCCAAAGGGTTTTTAAAGAATGAATCTGCAAAAGATGACTTCGCAAATTTTCTGCTTTAGCTCCATTGTCTCTAAGCACTAACGTTTATATCTCTAATCAGTTGAATGTATAGACCTATTGTTAGTAGGAAATCTTTCACAGAAGTTTTCTTGCTAGCTAGCGCCATTTCAGTTTTTCTTGTGATCAAACTCAAAATCGCGTTCGAAATGCCGTCTTTGAGGTTCAGTCCTGCGAGATTAGTCAAGAAATAGCTTCTGAGTAATTATATTGAAACGCAAATCTTTTTTGTTTTTGAATACAAATCATGAATTGAGTATCGGTTGATTATTTTCATACTTAACAGACTTTATTTGTTTTACATAGGAATTTTCGCATTTACCTGATGTTTGGAAGCATTTGAGTTTGTTAGCGAATATTTTGGTGAATTTAACCTTCTTCCATGATTTTCATAGCGTTTGTATGAGTTTAGAACCAAACACTTATTCCAGACTTTTTAATAGACAACTTTTTCCACTCACTTGTTACCTTAAAATGGGCTAAGGAAAAATTCTCAAATGCCATCAAAAATGTGCAAAAAGGTCAAAAATGGACTTAGTCCCAGCTCACCCTCATGATTCTTTCGCAAGCAAAAGTTCAAGTAGGGTTGAATCATTTTCATCACACCGCTTTGCCTCATGGTTGCGATGAAATGAAAATTTTTGGATAACGCTAGCGAAAGCAGATTCCGACCAATTCTTACCGCGAACGAATAAAATGGGGTTTGGAAGTCCATTTTCCTCCATTATGGACTTTCGTGGATATCTTTCCTGGTGGAGTTGTAATATCTATTGGTCTAGCACTTTTCTTCCTTAACTTGCTTGATCGTAGTATTCCACCAACATTTGAACGAATTTGATTTTTGATTAAACCTTCCCTCAGTCTTACTTCCAATACGACCCCTCGGGTCGGGCGCGCCTGACTCCACGCTCAGCCTGACTATAGCTAAAAGGTTTTGATGAATGACTCTAACCACTGAAAAAATGCTGTATACCCAAAGATCTCACAGACAGTCGGGAAAAGCCCGACTTGAATGCAATTTAAACGACAAAAAAGATCATAATACATCACTCTAGGATTTATGTAAATCTTCATGATCTCTGCAAAAGCAAAGGTTTCACTGTCACACTGTCACACAACAATTATTTTACTGGGAGTCCCCTTTATCTAAGCATGCCTTATGGAATCTGTTGCATGAAGCTTATTAGGAAAGAAAGAAATAGAAGCTTAACTAGATCCATTTTCTGGCCTGCGCTTCAACTTTGGTGAACTTAGCGGCCTTGATAATCTTCGCTAGAAAAAAATGTTGCTAAATTCAACCATGCATTTTTTCTCTTGCTCATTCTATTGTAACAGTTTTCGTCTTTGGTCATTCTACTTTCTAATTGGGAGAAAGGAAGCTCAACGCAGTAACGCAGTATGAAAAGATGGTCCCTCTGAACCAACAGTCTTCGCATCCTTACCGATAATGCCCTTCTGTTTGGTCGGAGCTTGAACAGCGAATGGTTGAGAGAGAAAGAGCTGTGAGTATATGTTTTCAAAACTAAGCATTTAGCGGAATTGCGTAGTTGCGATTAAGTTACCTAGTTATAACGGATCAACATCGAAATGGTCAGAATAACTATTTCAAACAAGTTGCAAGGCAGTGAACGCGTAGAATGCCGACCCCAAATTTATTCCTTAGCAGAAGCGAAACTTCGTGGATATCATTCCAGGACTCATATCTACGAAGGTCAGCGAAAGCAATCAAATTGCAAAGAAATCGTGTATGCATATGCTAATTTGACACAAAGATCCATGATCCCGTGTTTGGCTTAATACTGTGACAAAACACGCTGGTGCGTTGACAAAGTTCATGCATGGTTTGCTCAAAAGGCATGTACGTGTATAAGTTTACAATTCGTTTTACGGCTATCTGGCAATGAAACTGCTCATAAGTTCGTTTACAGAAGCGTTCAGCAAATATGGTAGACAGATTTGGAGCGTTTTATGCTGCATTCAACGGTATGCAGCTCGCTTAGAAAAACCACCTCGATCTCTGGCCACTCCTTATAAGCATAGACAAATGTTGACGTTCTTGGTAACGTTTACAATAGTTTTGCTCATACTCGTTCAGATAGATATCTTTGAGTCAACTGTAACTCAGGGTGTGACGGTCTGTACACTTTGCGCAGCCACCGACGGCAGCCTTATAAGTAACTCCTTAGTAAAATATTTTATAGCGCAGTAAGCTTAGGGAAATTGTACAATTGACTAACACATATTCAATCGTCTCAAAAAAAAACAAGAAACAAGGAGAAATTATTGGAAATGAGCATTTTCTAAATGCCTTCAGGTAGCGCGCATGGTGAATATGCGCATATTAATTTGCAAAGAACTAGACACTATATACTATAGTTGTAACGAGCGGAAATTTTCCTCAAAAATGAACGAATATCGATTAACTGATTTTTGAAATTTTTTGAACGAACGAATATTGAATAATTGATTTTTGAAAGTTTCGAAACGAATACCATTCGACCGATTTTTATATTAGGTTGGTCCGAAAGTTCTGTCCCACCAAATTCAAAAAATAACTTCTTCCTAAAACAATGTTTTTGCAAGAGTAAAATTACATTGAAAAAAGCAATTCACGCACTTTCAAGAAACATTTTGTTTGCTATCTACTAAGCTTTGAAAGCAGAGATAGAATTGGGAAAAGGAAACTACTTCAATTTTGGAATTTTGAGGCAAGCCCGTTAAAAATTCCAAAACTGTGTCAAAAAACCCGAAGCAGCCAGTGTCCTAGACTATTTCACTTCCTCTTTCTGGCTGAGCAAAGTTCGCGTTGATCGAGCTGTTCCTTGAAAAGTTATGATTTTTTGAAAAAACTGTCAAAAAATCAATTTTTTTAAGAAACTGATTTTTTGGCATTTTTTCTTGAAAATCATAACTTCTTTCAAAACAGCTCGATCAGCGCGAATTTTGCTCAGCCAAAAAGAGGAAGTGAAATAGTCAAGGACACTGGCTGCTTCGGGTTTTTTGGCACAGTTTTGGAATTTTCAACGGGCTTGCCTCAAAATTCCAAAATTGAAGTGATTTGCTTTTCCAAATTCTATCTCTGCTTTCAGAGCTTATTAGATAGCAACCAAGATGTTTCTTGAAAGTGCATGAATTGCTCTTTTCAATGTGGTTTTACTCTTGCAAAAACATTGTTTTAGGAAGAAGTTACGATTTTTTGAAGTTGGTGGGGCAGAACTTTCGGACCAACCTAATATTATTCGAAGACGCAATAGTCGCAATATTCAAGCAACGCTTTTCATGAATTCTCGAATATTCGAATATTTGAATAACTGTCTTTTGAAATTCCTCGAATATTCTACTATTCGAATAAGTTATTTTTCCGAGTCGTCGAGTGAAAAAATTATCCGAATAAAGACTTCTTCATTTATTCGACTATTCGAATGATCGAATAATTGAAAATTCTCCAATATTCGATTATTCGAATATTCGAAAAAATATAAATTATTAAATAAATTATAATATTGAATAAATAATACAAATAAATTATTTAAATACGAATATTCAGTTTTAACCTACTATATACATCGTACAGGCTTTACACTGCAAGTTATTCATTACCTCAGGGGAATCGTCATAGTAAGTGCTGACATGGTGGAATATCGCCATCTTTCTATCACCTGTAAGGTTGGTAAAGAAAAATTATCGTCAAATTCGCTTTCGAAAATGTCCAAAAGTGAAGACGAAAATACATGAAGCCGCCATATTAGCTACTCTCATAATTCACTGTCTTTTGAAATGCAATAAAACCTGGTTTTTTCCGTATGAGCTATGAATTTACTACATCTTACTGTTGGCGTTGCTGATGCTTTAAAATTACCTTTCGAACCGTATTTGCCTCCTGTAATAATAGCGACATATTGTGCATGAATTCTTGATCATCTCCAAATATTACAAATTGTGATGAATTCGAAAAGGCCATAATCATTGTTATTGATAAAGATTATTTGATTGGCTAAAACTTACCTTTTGTTGCGCAATGCTAGTAGCAGCCTTTACTGCATTTTCCATATCAGTCGATACTTTCAGTTGAACAAAATCACTCCTTCTAGTATGAATGCACATAGAGTCACGATTGAAGCTGTGACAGCGTTTATTGTGAAGACGTACACAATCATCTTGCAAAGAACAAAGCATATTACGTTTTCCAGGCAGCAGTGAAGTTTTTCTCTCCCATCTGCTTCACGTTTTCGGAAAATTGCAGAAATTTTCGTATATCTTCAATGTAATCTTGAAAATACTTGGGATGTTGTCCAAACTTGAGCATTAGAAACAGATATTTGGATGTGTTATTATAAAGCCTGAAACAAATTCTCAACTCGCAAAAAAATTTGTGTCGTTAAAAAAAGGTTTTTATCGTTATGTTGTGCGCGGAGGTTGAGTAAGGATGAGAGTGAGGTAGGAGAACGGGGAGGAAAGCTGAAGGTTACGATATAAGAGGACTTTCTGCGTGAAAAGACGCTCGAAGCGAGGGCAAAACCTAAGCTAAGAACAACGCTTCAAATTGGTTCATGCAACTTTCTCAACTGCCTAACTCTAATGCATTTTCCCTCTAACAAGGTTTTACAGAACGTAAAACGCTAGTTCTAAATCTGCTTTTGCTATCTACAATTCGTATGAGGGAGTTATGGATTTTTTGAGGTAAAAATTCGAGAGTTTAATTGAGGCAGGAACGTGCTGTGATCCTTCAGGCTCTTGTAAGGAGTAATGACTAGCACGAGTTTATTAGATTGAACGTATCAACTGCATAAAGCGCCAAGCGCAGTGGCAGTAATCATACCCCCATTGGAGCTTACAGACTACTTATTTCGAAACACTTCATTGTAGTCACAGCGCTAGGTTTTTTACTTCAGAAAATCCCCATGACTCCCTTCCCGGAAGGCATCTATGCTCTATAAGCCAGTATATACTTCATATGGAAACACTACTTTGAACAAGTGATGAATACGATTATGAGTGAGATCAGCATCATGCACCTCAAGGTAGCATACACCTCAAGGTAAAACTGACCTTGAAACATATCTCCGTGTGCTTTTGTGAATACGGATATCTGCTGTAACGAATGATAAAAGTATCGGTGGACTCACCTCAGGTACTGATGAATATGCAGACCCTTCTAACAGCAACTTTTTATTTGTAAACTTTGTCTCTCTTATTATATCAAGTTAACATACCTTAACGGATTATCGAATTTGCAACACGCTGTTGAGAATGCCACTCGCGTTTCATCTGCATCATACTGCAAAATCTATCGACAGATTACAAATTTTCAAGAAAGCGGACATAAAAAAGCGAAACGAAAACTTGCATTTTATAGCGTGCACTTTAAGAGCTACCTCTCAAAAGGAATTTCTAGCAAAATGGGAGGCTAACATAAGGAAGGATCAGTGGATAAACGCTTGTGTCAATTAACGCGTCTTGATTCATGTTTACAGACTGCAATGATTACAAGCGTTTCGACGAGAATCAACAATACGTAAAAGTAATTCACTCATTCTTTCTTCGGAGAATTGATGACAACGTATGCTCACCGGTGCCACTTTTTGGAAAATTGCATTTGTTTTTATTAGATTTTTTGGTTTCCATACTTCTAGACTGTCAAGAAAATAATGTCGTTTAATTGCTTGCTTCAGCAAAACAATCAGTCTCAACCAGGGTCAAGCAAGAGGTGTGGCACACGATCGCTGGTTACGACCCCCCCCCCTTACTTCCTTAATAAACCCCCAGTGAATTATATACTCAAGATAGCATTACTTGAAGGCCCTGTCAAACATTATGGGCAACATATCAATAATGAGCAATTGACCCCTATAGACAAAGTTTGAGCGAACTCTGAAGATTCAAGATACTAGGCTACCTGAGTGAAATTATCATTTTCCAACACGGCTAACTTTGTTTCAAAGGTGAATTAGCCATCCGTTTTTGCACTCAAGACAAAGCAGTACTCCTTCTTTGTTCATCTCAGAAATCCCGCTTCAAAAGACCTCCAAACTGTGAAATTAGAAGCCAACCAAAATCTCATTTTTCCCATTTTTAACTTTCAATGGCTGTGCTTTCCTCAAATATTGCTCAGAGCTAAGAAGACGAATTGGGCTTAAAACATTGCTATGGAATCTACGAGATTTAGGCTATCGATTCATGTAAATACGGGCAGCCACAGCTTTTAAGGAGGTGTGCCATACCCCATTAACTATGTCATAAAAACATTTTTAGCAAACCGTATTTATATGAGTCAATAGCCTAGATCTCCTAATTTTCACAGGAGTGATTTGAGCCTGATTTGTTTCCTTTGCTCTGAGTAATAGTTGGTGAAAGCACAGCCATCAAAAGCGGAAAATGGAAAAAACGTGCTTTTGGATGACCTCTAATTTCAGAGTTTGGAGGTCTTTTGCAGCGGGATTTTTGAGATGGACAAAGAAGGAGTAGTGCTTTGTCTTGAGTGCAAAAATGGATAGCTAATCCACCTTTGAAACAAAGTTAGTCGTGTTGAAAAATGATAATTTCACTCAGGTAGCCTAGTATCTTGAATCTTCAGAGTTCGCTCAAACTTTGTCTATAGGGGTCAATTGCTCATTATTGATATGTTGCCCATTATGTTTGACAGGGCCTTCAGGTAATGCTATCTTAGGTATATAATTCAGGGGGGGGGGTCTTATTACGACAGCAACCAGGAGGGGAGGGGGGGGGGGGCTCGTAACCAGCGATCGTGTGCCACATCCCTTGCTTGACCCTGCTTATAAGCCGTTGAAGGTCGTTATTTTGCTAAGAAATCATGCATGCAAAGCGCAAATTTGGCAGTACCAGACATGTTTGGCCTAATGCTGGGCCAAAACATGCAGCTAAGTTACTCTGTATTCTCAAAGCCTAACGGTGAGATGAAAGTGCAACAGCGTGCTCAACTTCGCAATTTTCATGCACGATTTTTTTGCAGTAAAACTGCTCAAGCAGTGAGTGCTGTATGGAATTCTAGGCAGCTTGCTTGCAATTGGCACTTCAATTTGTGACCAATCCCTCGTTGGTTTGGAATGTGCGAAGAAATCATCGACAGAGTTCTAATCTCTATAATGCAAACTAGTATGTGCCTACTATGATTACTGCTTGTTCCTTCCTATTGATTCTCACCCCACGAAATTAACGAACAAACAATCTCAATTAAAAGCCTGCCAAAACGTGGCTGATATCAGTGTTAGTCCTTCATCTTATTGTTAGTGGAACATCTAATTGTAATTGATCCATAAAATTCCTATCAATCATAAAGGATATGAAAAAGCAATACAATACCGTTCACAAGGTTTGCAACATTTCCGTGAATGTTCCGGATTCGGAAATTCCGCGGAAGTCCGAAATTCCGTGATTCAGCAAATTCCCGAAACTCAGCGAGATTTCGGGAATTCGCTGAATCACGGAATCACGCAGACTACGCACCGCCGTAACTTCCTTCGTAAATAATATATTTTGAAGAGAGCAGAATTGTATTTAGCTCGTCAAGGCGAATCTTTTGATATACAGCATGTCCTTGACATTCCGTTTCCAATTTTTTTTTCAAATTATTTTGTGGAGGTCATTTTAGGATGTAACTCTCACGTAAAAGATATCCAGTAAGTACTACTTGATAGTACTGTTCTTGTCGATTTTAGTTGCTAGGTAGCCAATGATTTCCTTACAAAAGAGATAAGCGTTGGTGAATTCTGGAAAAAATCACGCGTTTTCAAATTTCACTCGCCGTAACTTTCTTCGGAACGAATATATTCTAAATCCAAATCGCGTTGTGCTGAGCTCATCAAGGCGAATCTTCCGATATACACCATGGCCTTGATACCCGATTACAGTATTCTTGAATCTTTCTGCGGGCGTCTCTTCGCAAAGGTGTAAAGCAGCGCGCATCCTCTAGTAAATTCTAGCAAGAGCCTTCGGATAGCACTTCTTTTGTAGATTATAAAGCGCAGAAAGTAGCTGGATTCTTTTCGAAAGAAATAGAAGTGTTGGTGAATTTTGGAAAAATCAAGTCGTTCTAAATTGTATTCACCATCATACCTTCGATACATAGAGCCATGTACTCTGGTAACCTTCACTTTGAGCGTCATGATAGAACACAACCTTCACCAGGGGAGAAGTACAGAAGTTATCCGGGGCAAAGCCCCGGAAATTATGACATAACTAATGACATAATTGTATAGGGATGAATTTAAATGAGGCAAATATAGCAGTGACATTCAAAAGAAGCTCAAAAAACCGAAGGATTGCGTTTTTATGGCCTTTTTTGTTGAGAAGAAGGTTTTAATTAAAAAATTTTATCAAAAACTAGGGCAAAATTTCTCAATTAACCTTTCTCTGAACTGCGGTTAAATGTTGGAAGTTCATTAAAGCCGCTAGAGTTCAATAAAAACGAAAAACTGCGCTCAAATCTTGCACAAAGAGTCGCCATATGAATGCTGGTCTATCTCGTTATGGAGTGATTTTCAAGACCCGCGACGTTATCAGTGCTCCTGGCCGTCTCATGAGGATCACAACGATATATAATGTTGCAGGGTTTCGTTGAGACCCTGCGAAGATCCACGACCAGAGCCAAATGCCCCGTCGGCTCTGGTCTGTCTCCGCTGCTCGTCTGCGTCTCCGCGCGTTGCGCGCTACCTCGCTACCTCAAATGCGGGGCGCGGGGCATTTGGCTCTGGTACCCTTTTCTTCGTTGTTCGGAGCCCAATTTCGATAATCTATATGTCATATTAAAGCTCTTGATCTCTATTTTCACGCTGACAACGTCGCGGAACTTCTTTTTGGGAGTTGAACGAGAAATCCTCGAAAAACAGTGTTTTCGAAAACCTCTTGTTTTTTCTTCAGTTTAACTTTTTTCACTCGGTTTTTTTGTGCATTCGATAGGTCTTGTTTCTGTCTATGATGTAGACAACGTCGCCGAGCTTACTTCTTTGCTTATGCCGGTTTTTTTGTGAAAAATACAAAAAAGTGCGTTTTTCTTTGACTTGTTCTCTTTCTGCGCTTTTGCAGCGAATTTTTGTACGAAATGACTATGCGGGGTGAAAATTTGAAGGACGCATCAAAAATCAGATTGGCGTCGATGTGCAACACAACTTTACAGACATGTTTAACATGTTCAATTCAGTTGTTGACAAGTTCTTCTTCTTTCGGTCTCCCAACTAACGCCACAGCTAAACAGCGCTTTTTTGACTGGAAAAGAACTTTGTTGTTGTTGTCACCCAATTTTAACGGCAATCCTGGAGACGAAACTCTGCGTAGGAAACCACCAAGTTAAGGTTTCAGATTTGGTGATGTGCTAACCTCTGCTTTATATGAATTTTCTAAGTTTTCTTATTTAATTTGTATCTCTAAATTTTCGTCTATTTTTCTGAAACAAACTTCACTTTTTATAGGGGGCAAGAACTCAAACAACTATCACTTTCAAGCCCTTGTCTCTTGACTATCGAAGGTATGCTCACCATAGCCCCAGAATATGAAGCTCTCTTACTATGCAGATGTGATTTTCGCGATCAGCAGGTTGGATAACGTCTATGAGCAAGTTTTCCGAGATGTTCGGGTTAATTCATTTTTCTCTTTTACGCTCTGGAGGCTCGCCGATGGATTTTGGTCAAAATGTTGATGTTCTTGAATTGTAAGAAGAATTCGCTTATAGAGGTTTTCGGACACGCTGCTTACAAAAAACGTAGTTTTGAGGAACACAAGGTCTTTTTGCAGAGGTATGGTGAGATAACTGTAACTGAGTCAAAAAGTTCGCAATTTCGCCTGCACTTCTTGCGTACAGTGGAAAACTTACCGCTTGACTACTTTCTAGCGCTCTATAATTTACAAAAGTACTATCGGAAGGTTCTTGCTGGAATTTACTAGAGGATGCGGCTGCTTTACACCTTTGCAAAGAGACGTCCGCAGAAAGATTTAAGAATACGTAATCGGGATATGAGGGCCATGGTGTATATCGGAAGATTCGCCTTGATGAGCTAAGCACAACGCTTTTTGGATTCAGGATATATTGGTTCCGAAGGAAGTTACGGCGAGTACAATTTGAAAACGCGTGATTTTTTCCAGAATTCAACAACGCTTCAATCTTTTGGAAAGAAATCTGTAGCCACCTAACGCACTAAAATCGACAAGAACAGTACTATCAAGTAGTACTTACTGTATATCTTTTACATTAGAGTTACATCCTAAAATGACCTCCACAAAATAATTTGAAAAAAAAATTGGAAACGGAATGTCAAGGACAAGCTG